GGTCACACTTTCGTTAATTCCTGTGAAGCTGCGAAAAAGTGCGAGTCAGCCACTTTCGACACAGAGACTTACAGGTTTTCACAAGTTTCCCTTTACAGGCTTCGCTAGTACCGTGTGATGCCCCCACCGAGCCTAAGTGCGCCTAATTCTGTTTTTAACAGCTTCTCCGAAATCCCCTGTTATTTTTATTTTAGTTCTACTTTTACTTTTTTTTATGAAAGTTGCTGATGGTTGGAAGTGGGGGGGGTACGTTTCTTACTGTTACGTGATATTGTATACATTCGTATTTTCACAGCTGAACATTCTACTCGCGTCTCTGTTCAACCTTATTGGTACGTTGGTAATAACAGTTATGGGTCTGCCATTGTTATTGCCAGTTATTATTATGCTACTGATTGTATATTATTTCATTCAAAAATATTACCGGTAAGTTGCTCTATGACGTTGATGATACAGCATATTTACGTGCCCTGAGGCGATTTCACTAAAAGGAGTGGGAGCGTAGGAAGGAGGGGAGGAGGGCGGTCAGTTTGATTGTCGCCTTCAATAGCTGATAGTGTTGAATGCAGAAGAAGAGGGGCTGAGGAGGGGTTCGGCTCCAAGGAGGTCACTTACTCAATATTTGTATATTTTCAGCCTAACAACAGTGGAGCTGAAACGTCTGGCTTCTCTGAGCCTCTCACCTTTCTACTCACATTTGGGAGATACTGTGAATGGATTGGCGACCATCAGAGCTCAACGTTTTGTTGAGAGGTAATATTTTCTAGTTTTTTTTCCTGCTCAGTAATTCGGGTAAGTTATACTAGCAGTTTTGTTCGCTGCAGATGCTGGTACGTGTCAGGGATGGGAGGAGGAGGGGGGGAGTGGGTTTGGCGCGTTGACAACCCGTTTTGCACCAATTCTTGTCGCTTGCACTCTTTAGCGATTGGTGGAGAACTAGCTGGCGCCTTGCCAAACCCATCTCAGCCTCCTGATACGCTCCGGAAACGGCAGTGAATAAGATTTAAGATTTATGAACATTGGACGCCTTGATCCCTACGTCCGGATGTGAGTGTTTTGAGACGGAAACGGCCCCGAAAGTGCCGTCTCCATACCCCTTCCCGCGCGCCAGCACGGATAGCCGCACGCCTGACCATAGCCAGACGCGCTACTTATTTGCTAACGCTCACCACTACTTGCTCTCTATCGCTAAGTGCGTGTTCTCTGTGGGATTTTGCCATCGTCGCAAATGCTGTGCGTGGAGGATAGCGCGGGCGAAGTCCAGAACTGTACCTATGTGTTAGTACTCCGACCCGTTCCCGTGCACTTTTGAGCGGAGAAAATGATCCGCTACTGCATCTGAAATATCATTAACATCGCACATGTTAAGGACCGCCCCCCTCCCGCAGGGGAGTGTTCAATGTGTCTTTAAGTTCGCACATGAGAAACGACGAATTATTATTTGACAGTCGTCTTATTTTGAAAATTAACAGCATTTGTTAAGATTTGGAAAGAAGTTACGTGAACGTCTGACAGTGAACATGCGAGCGCAGTTCTCATCAATTGCTGCTGGTCAATGGTTATCTATCCGGCTGTCGATTATAGCCGTGAGTATCGTTGCAGCGATTGCCGTTTCGGCAGTGATACAGCATCAAATCACGGGAGTCGATTCAGGTTAGAGAAAGATATGCATTGCGCAGTTCGGCTCGTTAGGGGGTACCAGCCACCCTAAACTTGCACTGTGAAGACAATTAACTTTCTGTAGCAGAAGGCGCTCTTGTACCATTTCGCAGCTTTAGCCTGCGTTCATGCTTTCCAGTAGCGTCCACTAGCCTTTAGCGTCCGGCAGCACCAGGAAAGTATAGATGTCGGTCTAGGGCCTGCCAGCGTTTACCAGCGTCCACTAGCGTCTGCCAGCGTCTCGAAGACTGAGGAAGAATAGGTACTGATCTAGCGTTCACCAGCGACTGGAAGTAGAGAGTATGGGGAAGTAGGAAGGTAGTAAAGCTGGCTTAGGCGTTGTAAAATTGCGGCGTGTGCAACCGCACCGCACAACTGCTAAAGCACAGAATTATGCAATTTAATGTACGGTGTAGTGTAGTTGTACGGTGCGGTTGCACACGCCGCAATTTCACGACGCCTAATCCAACTGTTTGCCACCCTCCTACTTCCCCATACTCTCTACTCCCAGTCGCTGGTGAGCGCTGGTAGTCGCTGGCAGACGCTAGATCGATGTTATACTTCCCTAAAGCGGCGGAAGGTCGGAGTGCTGATCGACCTGGTGGACGCTGGCCTGGTGGCAAAGTATGAACGCAGCATTAAATAGTTTACATTTTTCACCATAGTGAGGACTGTTAGTTGATATGAATAAGCAAAATGAATTGGCGAAAGTAGAAAATGCCCCCTTGGAGCCGAACAGCGCCTTCGATTTTGCTCAGTGGCGTTTTTTCCTCTGTTTGAAACATTATTTTGTTGAGAAACGAATACTCTTCTAGGCCTTGTCGCGTTGGCAATAACGTACGCGTTATCGCTGACCAGCCTACTGAACGGACTTTTGGGTTCCTTCATCGAAACCGAGAAAGAAATGGTATCTGTTGAGAGGATAGATGACTACCTCACAAATGTACAATTGGAAGATGACAGTGGCGAAGGGGTATCTTTTAAACGATAATTTATCGGCTTTTTTCCGATTCATGTTAGTGTTGTTGTCCGATTGTTTACGTGGTGCGCGTTACTCCCTTCGCAATTTGCAAATATTCCAGTTTTTGTAGAGGAAAAATAGGTCTAACACTCACATCTCAATTTCCCGCGTAATTTTCAAAGTCATCCAGGCTTACCAGCTCCTAGCTCTGGGCTATGTGGCAAGACAGTCGTGATTTCCCGCTCTGGCGGGTGTTCCCTGCGACGTCGCCCCCGCAGTAGCGATGCTTCTAGGTGGCAGATGACTTCGGTAGAGGATCTTTAACCAAAAATAGCCATAAATATTACGTGCCGTAGTCTACATGAAATCCGCTGCTCTAGTCGACAGGTTGATACAGATTGAGAAAACGCCGCGCCCATTGCCGCACGATGCGTCGCGCGCGACAGAGCGGCGAGCTACGCTTCTCTTGACCGTTCTGTGGGTTGGGTAATGGTTACCCAAATGGTAATGTAAGCGTTTGTGTGCTATATCATCAAACTCCTCTGCTTTTTTTTACTCTTCAATTTTGTTGAATAACGGTGAAATTTTAGTTCTGTTTTATCACACTTTCAGGGCGCCTACGATTTTGCTGGTCGAATTCAATTCGATCAGGTGTCATTGCGATATAATAGCTATTTGCCGCTGGCTCTTGATAATATCAACCTCTCAATAAACGCTGGCGAGAAAGTGGCGATTGTTGGTAGAACGGGCAGCGGGAAAAGCAGTATATTCCAGGTATTGTTGAGATTTAGGCGCTGTTCGGCTTGGGAGGGGCAGACGAAAGGATCAAGTGAGCCATTTCGGTTACAGGATTTACAGGTCTTCACAGGTGGCCTTAACTAGCTTTGTACGGTTCATCAGGTGCCCCCCCCAAGCCGAGTTGCGTCATCTGGTAAATGTTTCGCATTTGATTGATTTTATCTTTATTAAGGCCCTCCTTCGGATGATATCAATAGAATCTGGTAAAATATTGCTGGATGGTGTACCAACTTCATCGATTCCTCTGCCTGTGTTACGGCGTGCGTTTGGTGTTGTGCCGCAACATCCATTTATATTCAGGTATGGCTCATTAAATTTGAAAAGTTGCATTCAAAATTTTGAGACCATTCAGAGTTTTTGAAAGGTCAGTTCGCGTCTCATTCACCAAAAATTTCCCCATCTGGTACGACTCCTTTTTCCTATGCTACCAACCATCTTCCTAAATCCTCCCTACTTCCTAGCAGTTTTTCCCAGTCTTTCAAAGGATTTTCGGCGCAGTTCAGCGACTGGGGACATTTTGCATTTTCATTGCTTCCCTAGTTCCGGCTTACAAGTCTTACTCTGTGAATTCTTGCAAAGCTGGAGCAAGCTCGTGGAACCAACGTGTAGGAAATAGCAGAAGTGCAAAATGCCCCTCCCTCACCCCCATCGCCGAACTGCCCTTGATTTTCTAATTTTCCCCTCAAAAAAGTGGCGCCGAGCAAGGAGAGGGTGTCCCGCTCCGCATGACCTTTTTACCACTTGATAGCATTATTCGTATGGACTGTTCGTTCCTGTTCGTTACCCCGTATCAGCTGAGACTGCCTATAGAAAAAGGCTGGCTGGTACGGGGCCCTTTTTCACCATGGACTTGAGACTCGCAGCGACTGAGTCTAGTTCAAGTGAACTGTCAAGAACAAGGTCTAAGAAAAACTACCTAAGCCGCACGAAAACCATTAATCTGGACGGGGGGAGGAGAGTCGTCAGCTGACGAGTATTCATTTCAACCATCGGAAGTAGTAGTTGTACAGTAGTTCTAAGGCGCCGGTTAACTAGGGGGGGGGGTGGGTAAGCGAACCAACAACTGGAAGTAATTGTTTCGCGGTTCAGTTTTCTCAGAGACAAAAACGGCTTCCATGCTCAGCGACCGAGTACGATGCCCCTTCCTCCCCCACGAGGATCTCTCAACCATGTGGTACCCTTTTTGAGATACACTCCATATCCCAGAAATGGACAGGGCGTGGCTGCATAATTCATTTTACCATAACGTGGGATACGTTGAAGGAAGTTTCCATTCGAGGCAGTTGTCATCATACTTTATGCTGTACACAAGCATGATCACAATTGTCCCAAAACGACGCTGTCCGACCAGAATGCACCTGCGGCCACATTAAATGAAGTACGAGGCCACGCCCCACCTATTTCTCGGATATGAAGTGGAGTAGAAAATCAAGCGTGTATGAAGGAAAAAAAGGTGGCGAGATGTAAAGTTAA